ATTGGAGTATGATTGTTAATTTAAGAGGAAGGTAAGTCTAATAACATTGTTTTCTTTTCAACTAAACGAAATTTTACTTTTTTATGTAATTTAACAATTTAAGTACAATTTTTGTTGACGTAACATTTTATAGTTGCCCGAAAATTGTAAACAACTTTTTATTGTTCATGGACATCATGAAAACATCTATATTACTCTGATTTTTTCCCTCCTACCAGACAAGATTACAACAACATACCAAAATCGTTTGATATTTTGATAGCTGAATGTTCTAAAATTAAATTACAATTTTCACCATCTATTGTGTTTGTAGATTTCGAGAAAGCTATTCATAATGCAATTCGTTTATGTTTTTAAACAATTATTATAAAAGGCTGTCGTTTTCATTCAAGCCAACATTTTTGGAAGAAAATACAAGAATTAAATTCAGTGAGAGAATATTCAAGAGAAAATTCAGAGATTGAAAATTAAAAAAGAATTTTTTAGTTTGCTATTCTTGGATCCTCAAAAGGTGGAGGATTTTTTTGTTCATAATTTAATGGCAATTATTCCTGACGACGAAAAAGTTGTGTAATTTTGTGACTGTTTTACTGACGTACATTGATTCTAATTCTGATTTTCCTCCAGAAATTTTGTGAATGCTTTCATTCAAACTTTAATTTGTTTTTTTTTATAAATTTAATCAAAACATTTTTGAATTTATTGACATTTTAAAAGGAGTGCAATGAGAAGCTGGGGGGGGAATGCAAAGAGACTATAATTAAAGAACAGTTCATGACCAATAAAATGTTACTTTTGTAACATAGACCTAGAAACGTTTAATTTTATATTTAGGACGTCTTTTGAACAAGTGTGCCCACTGAGATGATCTAAATTGATTTAGAAATTATCTAAAAAAGTTTGTCAAATTTTAGGAAGATAAAGTGATAATATAATATCCCCTGAACAATAATTGATATTTTCTCTCTAAGATGTTAGAAGTGCTTCTATTTTATACTTTACTTTATTACCCTTCCAGAGACGAATTCATTTTTGTTTTTCCATAGTTTAAAGTTCAAAAAAACCCTTCTGTAATAAAGTATAAAAATAACTGTACTCTCTTTCGTTTTGCTTATTCAAGTGAAGAAGGAAAGCCAGGATTGGCTCTCGAAGGAGTTCGCTATGTATTCAGAATATCAAATACATTTGCAAAGACTCTCGTTGCTAACATTTCCTATGTAAATGTGAGAAATAGTTTTGGGGAAGTGGTGCACATGGGTATCGCACGTATACTTGCGAGGTCACGTGACCATTCAAACCAATGAGCTAGACCATAGAGTGAAATAGAAAAGAATACATTTTTTTTATGAAAGAAATCCAATTTGGCAAACGTTTCTAGGAAAATTTTTGAATTCACTTACATTCACTTTGGTTTTTATATTTTTAAAAATCTTTAATTCATATTTATTCCATTGTTTTTCTAGAAAAATAGGCAAACAATTTCAACTCTTTCTGAAACTTAAGTAAAAATATACATTTACGGGAAACTGTCTTTAAATATTAAACACTTTTTGTTGTAGAGAAGTTTTTTTTTGAAAATCCACAAATCATTTTTAATTTGTTTGAAAAGTTTCAAGTTTGTCATTTATTTGAAAAGAGTGCTAATTGTAAAATTGAATTAGAAAAATTTTTCCCAAGTAATAAAAATATAACATTTTTTTACAACCTCATTTGTGATTGTTAAATCAAATGAACAGGAGCAACAGCTTGTTGCTTTCTAATGGAAATCTAAGAGAAAAAACTTGTGATATTAAGAACGTGAATGCTCAAACTTAAATTTTAGTTTCGAACGTGAAAGGCTTTCAGCGCTCCAATTACAGCTTCTTGCATAGAGTTTGAGACTTCAGAGTACCTATATAAGGCATGGTCTTTATTAGCATGCCGAGAGCAAAGCGGGGGTACCCAAAGTGTAATTACTTTCTCTTAGAAGTACGTGCTATTGAGTTAATCGTCACTATCGAAGTCGATTGTTACCATTGTGAATATGGACCAGTCTAAGATCACTGTGCCATTTGCCGATTCATGGTTCAGTAGACTAGATTCTCCAGATTTTCACCAGATTAATGTATTGTTCTGATATGGAAATTTCATGGCCTTTTGTGTATATACTTAGATCAATTACTCATACCGACGTTTAACTTCGGTATTTCGATTTATTGTACAAAAGAAATTTATAATTTAACAAAATTCGCCAATAGTAATGCATCGAAAACTGATCATTTTGATTTAAAGACCCTATGTGAATTACTGGTGATTATAGACAATAATGTGTTCTGTTTTATCAGCCGAAGATATTATCTATCGCGGATAAGTGAAAACTGGAAAATTGTAAAAAATTTTCTTGTCAAAAAAGAGGATTAAATTTCGTAGAAAAATGAATCGATGATTCGTAGATGAGCATTCAGAGCAATACATATTATAAAAAGAATAGTATACCTCAAAAATAGAATACCTCAATTGATTGTAAGCACATGTTCGTCTTTCTTGACCAATAAAGATCGTTTAAAGGAATTGAAAATATAAAGCATTTATAGACGTTTATTTTTATTGTTGTTCGATACTTGCTCTTTTTAAAATCAAGTACACAGCCACGAACCAAATCGAATAACGGATATGTAAAGGTTTAGACGACAAGAAATAAAAGAGAAAATATTTTGCTCTAGTGTTCACTCGGTATTTACATTTGAAGGAAGAACGGATTTGCCTTATGTGCCGGAATCGTTTGTGAAAATTCAATTTTGTTGGTGCCGTTGAAAAAACTTGAAGATTTCGTTGAAAATGCGAAAAATGAAATCAGGGATGCGCGATTTAGATGTTTGAATGCAAGGAGTGACAATTTACTACTTTGTTCATGTTGGAAGAAAACAGAATGGTATAAGTTTATAAAATTTCCTATTCGTCTGCAATCTTGTAACAATATGTAAGCGCAAATTTAGATTAGAAGATAATTTTTTTCGCAGAATGGCTTTTATGACTCAAAAAATATTATACTAAGGAAATTTGTAATTAAATTTTTTTTAACCCTTTCATGCCTCCGAGGAATTTAGCGGTTGGATTAATTGTAGACGATAATTTCTGACGTGGTGATTATACGTAAATAATTTTGTCGCCCTGTACAATAATATCTTTGGTTGTGGTCACATGTAAAATAATAAAACAATTTCGCCAAAGGAATAGACAGTATTTTAAAATAAAATATGACTGAAAAAAAATATTAATATAACTTTAAGAACCATACAGAAAAATTGAATAAAAAACTAACTCTATAAAATCCGTAATAATTACGAAATCGTTCCAAATAGAGCAACACATAGCCACAATATTGACCTAGGCGAGACAATATTGCCTCAAGACAGACATAATCAATGTTCCAGCAATACTAATATAATATTCGATTTCAGTATGAATTATATTTAATATTAATGTTGTGCTCTTTTGTATAGTAGAAATTAAAATACATTTAAATTAAACTACACTGAAAATTTTAGTTTCTGCATTTTTTCTTGACTTTTTAGAAGACTAAGATTTAGTAACAAATGTTTTTAAAATAACATTAGCTGGAAAAAAGTAGACTATTACATTTGCAGAATCGGTCTAGAAAGAATAGGTCTAGTTTATAACTAGAACACTATTTCTACTTATAAGAAATACTTCTATAGTACTACAGTAATTTCTGAATCCTAAAAATGTAAAATTTATCCTACACATCAATATTAAAAATTGTTATTAAAAAACTATTGAAGAATCCGCTTTCCATTAAAATTTCGTCTCCCTCTAACGATCTCAATTTATATGATCAAAAAAATGACTTCGACAAGTGATATTAGAGTTCATAATGGGATCCACTCAGAAAAAAATAAAGCTCAGTTATGCCAAGATAAGAGCTGCTATGCTATCGGAATGCTATATATAAATGTAAATGAGCTAGGCTTTTGCGGTATGTGCAATTAAAGAGTTATGAAATTCTTCCCTGTTGGAACATCTTTCCATCTTCTTAGTGTGCAAAGTCGGGAAAGTATTCTCGTTGATGATTTATGGCTTGCAAAAGCACGTGATGGGATTACGCAGTTTCTGACGGAGACGTTGATAATGTCTGGCATGTGCCGTCTTTTTACTGTTATAACTTTTGTTTTACTTTAGAATTAATTTTTCAAAATCGCATTAAAAAATTCAAAAATTTCTGTAATTGAAAAATAAACTCAAAACTGATCTTCAATCATTTTTCATATACGCTATTCTTGATTTAAGAGTAAATTACACGAGGCATTAACCAACTGAAAATGACTTTGTGAATATGGCACTTGAAAAAAAAGTTTCATAGAAACTGCACAACAAATGCAGAGATAGAAAGTGAGGCCATGTGGGGGCAAGTATGGAATTATCCATGTCGGACCGTGGCAGACCGCGGTCTCCGTTCCTTTGTCTAGTGGCTGGTTGAGGTTTCACGCGGTAATTGAATAAATATTCATTAGTATAATTAGCACACACGTACGATGCCCGGTAACCACCTTTAATTGCGGCTGGCCGTTTTCCAAGCATGCACATGTATTCCAGGCGTTGGTGAACCGACAACCATGAAAATTAGCCTTGAGGCCTTTGTTTTCAGATTGTAGAATCATCTTCTGGTTTATTCTGAATCGTAAAATTTCATTCAAAAAGAATAAAAATAACACAATTTATACATTTCCCTATTGCATTACAAAATGTAAATATATTATAGAATTAAAACTCACTTAAGTAAAATAGCTAGAATTTTATAAACTTCCCCAAAAATTTTAGGAAACTTTAGAAAAGAATAGAGATTCCATCAAGACCTAAAAGAAATGGAGCACCGTTATCAAGTTTTAAGGCGAACTGCGAGCCCTCAGACAGACTTTTAATGACTTTGTATGTACCAAAAAAATGATTCACAGCCCTATCAGAAAAATACACACCGAAAGAAATAAAAGAAGAGAAGAAAATTTTACTCAATAATTACTTTTATATTTTATTTTCAATATACAACTGTTCATATACAAAAACGAAAAGAGGAAATTACAAATACATTGCGAGATTTTACAATATATGTTTATTACTCTTTGAGAAATACATGAATATGTAAAAAAAGTCGAAATTTTGAAACTGAAAGTATTGTATGTTCGTATACGGTCAATCACAAACTATTTAAGACATTTTTTTTAAAATTATAACCCCTCTCCCTTCTCGTAAAAATTGTAACATACATTAGCGCGATTTTTTCTATTGACCGTAAGAAATATCAGGAACCTTCTTGTCCTCGCTTTCGTCCCCTGAAACTGTAAAATATTTTAAAAATTAGATTAATTAATTGTTTTCATTTTTACTAAAAATAAAAAATTTTTCATATGAAAATTCAAAGTATATGTAACGCGCTCCCTTGAAATAAAAGAAAAAATATCGTTACCTTTATCGGAAAATACTATGTTCTTATAATTTCATATTATTTCACTTTTTACAACTAAAGTATTAGAATTGTTTGCATGTTTTGTATTTTAATTTTCAAACATATGTTTTTATACTGAAGCCTACCTCTTCTAAGTTGCACAGATTTTTTTCTCCTACGTATATCATAGCATAAACTTTTTACTATTTCTACATATGTTGAATTAGTAATGCCTGATCTGGTACTTGAGTTCACGAAATCTAAAACCAAATTATTTGACTTAAATAAGAAAATAAAATATTATTATTTCTTTTTGTAAAAAACTTACCTAAGATAAAATTGTTAACATTGGCAGGTATAAATTTAAATTTTGAGGAAGCGCGTGATCCTCTTATTGTCATGTTACATAATTTATTTTTACCTAATATCAATATCATTAATTTTCTTGTCATTACTGTTGGTAATGACAAGAATATATGATTTTCGTTATGACATTTAACTTTTCAAAATTTACATCAATATTCCATTTCTCTAATAATTCAACCTATAAATCAAAGAAAATTAAACAATTATACAAGATAAATATTTATCAAAATTAATTAATTATTAATTAATTATCGTTTGATAAACAACAGAAATATGTTCTAAAAATATTGATAATCAAAACCTGCGATGGATTTAAACTGTCTTGATTCGCTGAAACTGTAAAATATTCACGAAAATAAGATTAATTATTTTTTTATTTGTACTTATTTTTAATGTGAATAAAAAAATTTTTTATATGAAAAATTAAAATATTATTTTACATGCTTTATTGAAAATTTTATGTTTTATTAATCTAATCAAATTTTTTTCAATTTTCGGCACTGATCTATATTTGTTTTATTAATTTTCAATCATATATTTGTATGCTTATATGTATATATTCTTTTTCAGCTTAAATTAAAGAAATATATCTTGTTGGAATAAAGGAGTTAATATCACAAAGAGTATTGGGAACAATGTTGAAAGTTATAATTTTTTAAGTACTGTAGATTACCTCTTTTTTCGTAACGTAAATAATTGCATAAATCTTGTATTGCTGTTACATATTTTGAATAAGTAATGTTTGATCTGGCATGTAAGTTCACATATTCTGAAATCGAATTATTTAACTTGTACAGGAATAAAAAAATTAATATTCCTTCTAGAAAAAAACTCACCAAAGACAAAATTGCTAACATTTTCAGGTATGAAACTATGATTTTCTCGGAAATTGCGTGATCCTTTTATTGTCATTTTACATAATATATCTTTACCTAATATCAACATCATTAATTTTTTTGCCATTCCTGTTGGTGCATCAATAAATCTTTTCGTAATGAAATTTAAATCTTTAATATTTACATCAATATTCCATTTCTGTAATAATTCAACCCATAAATCAAAGAAATCACTAAAAATAGTGTTTTCAGACATTTTTGAAAATTTTTACATCTATAAACCTTAACATTTTTAATTTTTTAAATATGACTTCAGATTCGTAATAATAGCGGCTCAGAAAACCCCCTAGGTATTATAAATAACTATAATTGTGTATATGACTCATTTTTACCGAGGAAGTAACAGTTTTAATATTTATCTAACAACGTTTCAAAAAATGAAGGTCATGAAGAAAATTACATTATTATATTTTAAAAATTATGATTATGAAAACCTGTAAAGAAGTTAAAGTTCCATTGTCAGCTGACTGTAGAGAATCTGAAAAAATTTATTTCCAGAGTTTATAAGTTCAGGAAAAAATTAACACATTACTATCTAGTAAATATTGAGTTTTAATTTTTTCTTAAAAAAAACTACTAGTTACCAATTACAAAAAAGTATTAAATTTCTGAATTACTAATAACTTCCAAAAGGAACTGTGACCTGATATCTTTCAGAAGTGCTTAGTCATGTCTGACAGATTAATATTTTCAAAATGTTTAATATTCTAAAAACATTTATAGAACTTTAAAAGTTTTTAAAATGTAATTTTGGCAAAAATAAAATTTTTTGGGAACTTTCCTCGAAGGAAAATGTTTTTTTCCACTGGAAAATTTATGCTTTTGAGAAATTAAGATGTTTATTGATAATTTTGAGATATTAAAACTTTTAAATGCCTGTAAATACTGAAAATTCTACGTACCATTAGTATAATTTTCTTGTTCATCTGTAAGAATATGAAATAATATAATAATAATAATAATATGAATGTGAATTTATTATTTACATTTTAAGAAATATTTTAATTTTTCTCAGAATATTAGATTTTTTGACAGTTAGACAATCGTAGAACCTAAAGGTTTAAGATTGATTGATCTCAACATTTCCGAATGAATGAAATATTTCACATTATACTTTGTATTGTGACTAATAGGAGGAGAAACAATTTTGTACTATCTTTTTATAAAATTAAAGTTACTTTAATTCATTTATACCATATATATATTCTATATTTTCTACATATTATTTTTAAGAAGTTGTACTGATATGAGACTTTTAGAATTGTAGTTAAATAAGTTTTTAAGAATGTTACATACTACTTCTTTGCTTTCTCAGCCATTCTGTAACAAAATTGATTAAAATGGTAAACGGACGGTTTAGTATAAAATTTTCAAACTTGAAAAGTAAGTAATAGTCACTTAGTAGTTACATCAATTGCATGACAATATTATTGTAAAAAGAAATTCATGTTTAACAATAATTAAAGGAAAATTATTTTACAGCATGTGTAAGTATTACGCAGTTGCGGAGTGTCTTATTATACTTCTTACAGTTATTTGAAAATAATAAAAAAAAACTGTATTTTATCGTACCTCTATATTTCATTACATTGATACTAATTACGAGAGTATCAATCCATATTGTTAGAATTAAGAAAAGAACAAAGTAATTGCATAGAAAATTATATTTCATCATTTTGTGAATGTTTGCAAACAGTTGTGATATAGTAGCAATGCAATATTCTTAAGAAATCGTTGCAATGGAATGCAAAATCAATCTGTAAAACAAAAATCATATTTACTGTATTAGTAAACGCAGAGCATATAGTTTTAATAACTATTACTATCGACATTTTTATTGTTCAAATATAAAAATGCTTAACAGCTAGAAATACTTTACTGAAATTTTATCTGATATATGTACTTTCGTTGTTTAAAAATGTAGCTGGTGCGCTTTTATACTTGTAAATACTTTAACGACTTTAAAATTTCAAGTTTCGATTCGATACGTAAGTTCCAAAAAAACTGTTTTGTAGCAATACTGCAAATCATCATAAGCACTATAATTAATATAACTACGATATAATATATTAGAAGTACATTAAATATATTACAATTATTACAATATTTCATAATATTGTGAAGCGGTATGGCATTAAAGCGGGTATATAAAAAATTGCGTCCTCATTTTGTTGAAGTGGTGTACTATTTGTCCAATTTGTGCTTCAACAATCAATATTTGAGCGTTATTGGCTTTGTAGCAATGCAATATTATTAACAGTACTATTTGAATAAATACAGTTTAAATTCTTATTTTAAATTACACAAAATTATTATAAATAATTATGCATTTAAGAATCTAGGTCATCAAAATTAACTTAATTCACAATTCATAAAAAGTAACCACAGCCGATAATCAGCAGAAGATGAAAAATTATTTTTAGAGCAAACTCTATCTTCTGCTTACTAACACTTAGTCAAGAAAATTTTTTACTGGTTCCAAACTATACAAGAGTTGTTGAATATTTGACATTTAGTTTTCAATATATAATTCACTGAATAAGAAAAGCCAGAACAAATGGTTTTTGACTTGCAATCTATTACTATAAGTTTGAAGTTGGTGTCTGTAGAAACGTGGTAGAGTCGTAAGTCCATAAAACTTTATCAAAGTGAAGTTTACCGCCTTGTGGCAGTTTTCAACTCAAGAATAAAACCCAGTATAAGCTGGACTCGTGATGCCAGTGCTTGTGCAATTTATCGTGTGATTTAAAAAAAAAAACGCTAGTACTAAATTTCACGCTTTTCGTCATTTCAGTTGACAGTGACTAGAAAAATTGTAGTTTTTACTCTTATTTTAAAATAAACGACGTAACATCAGCTACAAATATTCATCGGTAAAAGTGCACCACCCTGAAAATCTGCGTCGTAAACAAATTATATTTAGTATATTTTTTATGTCATCGATTTACGAGCACGTTCCAGCTTTAAAACTGTATATTTTTTTAGTATAAAAAAAAATTCCTGTCATCCGCTAAAAAATTCGAAGCTATTTTAGAATATAAACTAATATTTCAAAGCATTTTGTCAAAACAAAAAATATAAAATTAATTAATTAATTCTTAATTTACATAAATAATATTAATATTTATTTTGTTCGTTGCAAGTTTATTACAAGTCAATACAAAATAACTGTTAAATTAGTGCGCCTCTAACTAATTATTTTCTACGTAATTAAGCGTTATATTCTCAATAAACAACTCGTTATAGCAGATTTTATATATTTGTAAATCTCGTTCGACAATTAACTATTTGAATATTTACATTTGGTTTACTGTTAGTAATAGAAATTTAATGAAAATAGAATGAACCTTGTTGAATTGAAGTAGTAACGAATGGAGCGCCCTGGTCCTTTGACCCAAATGTACCCACATGAAAAAGTTCCCGGGAAAACACTCCAGGAAATTCCAACAGGAAGTTCCTGTAAAAATTCTGACAAATTAGTTTTCAATATGTCATAAAAATCAGATTGTAAACAAAAGATTTAAGAGTTTATAAAGTTTTATTACATTTTTTCTCGTTTTTTTAAAACTTTTAGATGTATTTAATACATTTTTCTAAAATTATTTGGAAAAATATCTTCGAATTTATGTTGATTTTCTAAAGTGTCACTGAGCAAAACATTTTTCCTATATTTGATGGTTAGAAAGACTTTTTTACAATTTTTTATAAAAAGAATAATTTTTTTAAAAGTACTTTATATGATAATTCATTTTTACTTCAATAATATTGAATGATATAATTGACTTATTTAATTTGAGTTTTATCTAAACATAACTTTTTTAATATGAAGATTTTATTATTTCTAGGGCCCTTGAAGATTTAGGGTTTATTTGTAAGCTTTACTTTTTAGGAAATTTTTTAATTTTACAAAAAATCTCACTTTATGACACGAAAAAAAGATAAAATTTTTAATTCAAGCTTTTAAATTAAAAGCTTCGACATTTTTGCACACCTCTAAAGCGTTTTTTTCTTATTTGAAATAAACCTTTAGATGACGGTACTATATTACTACTACTCTCCCCTACTATTTTCTCGCAACAAAATATAATAATAGACAGAAAAGAAAGAATTTAATCGGTTTTGTTAATAAAATTTAAATTTTAATTAAACTTATTTATAGAAAATTAAACTCTTTTAAACATTTTTATTCGAGTTTTTGTAAATAATTAAATTCTTTTAAAGAATTTCTTTTGGTTTTTTTTAAATAATAAAGTTTTTGAATAATTGGAATTGAATATAATTGAATAAAACAAAGAATTTTTTCAATTTAAAAAATAAACGTGTCTGGTAAAAATTATAATGAAATATTTCATTAATTTTCATGTGACATGTAATGTAAAAATTACATTGTTGTTATATATATGTTAAAAGTGAAACCAGAAACTTCACGCGCGTTATTTGTGCTAGTTATTAATTAATTAACTATAATAATCGTCGTATTCATTCATTCATTCTGTCCAGTCTGTCCACACCTGAAGTTAGTCATGATTATGCTTTTGTTTTTTTACATGTTTTGATAGATAATATTATACTTCTTTATTTTTTCACTATTTTTTTAATTTAATAATATTATTTTATTTTATTTAGAAATATTTTTATTTTTAAAATAATTCAATAATATATTCATTATTCGAAAAAAATTATTAATGTTATTTTTCATTATTTCCTTTGTTTCGAAAAAAATTAGCATTTTGTAACAAACATTTTAGACGTACTTAACAAATAATTGTTATTTTTCACGTAAAATATTTTCTTTTTTTCAATATGAAATTGATTGACAAATCGAAATTATAAATACAACAATTTTTAAAAAAAAATTTAAAAATTGTTGGGAAATTAAAATTAGAAAGTAAAAAATATTTTGTACATTTTTTGCTTCTCAATTACAATAATTTATAAACAAAGTACGTAAGTAGAAAAAAAGTTATAAATCAAATTTTGTTTAAGAAATTTTTAATTTAGTTTGGAAAAAATATTTACAAAATTTTCTATTTGTTAAAAACTATATTTATCGAAATAATAATAATAAATAAATAAAACAATATCCATTTTATTAATTAAAAAAATAAATGAAAAAATTCAATTTTAAATCTATAAAGTTCAATTATTGTTAAAAATAGGATGAGTTTGAAATAAATAAAATCTTTTCAATGCTAAAGAATATAAGAATGTAGGACAAAAAGTCCAATCCAAAATATCCAAGAAAAAGAATCCAAACTACAAAAAATCCGAAAGAGAAAATTTTTTTTAAAAATAATCTTTTTTGTTTATAATAAATTATAATTAAAAATTTGATTTTTCAATTTTATTCAAATTATATTGAAAATAATTGAATAATTAATTATTTCCTTAATAAGCAATAAAAATTAAATTTGCTCAAGTACTAAAAATTTATAATTTATTTGAACATTTATAAATTTTAAATTATAAAAATTTCAGAGAAGTTATAAAGTTATAAAACAGGGAATAAGACAGGAATTTTATGCAGAACCGGGAATTTTTTCACTAAATTAAAAAAAGTTTTATTATTTTCATTTGTTTTTAAAATATCGCTTTTTATTTCAATTTGTATAGATATTTATACTGTTCTCTAAATTTTAATTAATTAAAAATAATTAATTTGATAGTTTTTGCATCTAAACATTTTTTTTATTTTAATTATAATTATTGAATAATAATATAATTTTTAGATGCAAAAACTATCAAATTAATTATTTTTAATTAATTCAAATTTAGAGAACAGTATAAATATCTATACAAATTGAAATAAAAAGCGATATTTTAAAAACAAATGAAAATAATAAAGCTTTTTTTAATTTGGTGAAAAAATTCCCGGTTCTGCATAAAATTCCGGTCTTATTCCCGGTTTTTCTGGTCGAATTAAATTCCCTGTTATTTTATACTTTGTAACTTTCAGATTTTAAAATTAATATAGAACGATTAAAACGACATTAATACTTGATAATTTTGAAAATTTGGATTTGGACCTTTTGACCAAGACATAAAGTCCAATCTAAAAATCCAACATAAACTATTTTTTTTGGACTTCATTGACTTTGGACTTTATGTCTTAGACATTTTGGTTTGGACTTTTTGTCCACAGGTACTGAATAGAACATTCAGAATATTCTTGTGAATTTTTGAAATTGAATATTATTTTAGTACTTTTGACAAAATTTCCTGACTTTTTCCTGACTTCCCTGAATAAATTTATAGAGAAATAGTGATTACGTACGGGTGGAGGTGCTACTACTTATAAGTTAATTTAAAAATCTATATCAATCAGAATGTTGTTCAGCAATACCCAAGCAACAACTCAGGTCATTGGCAGCCAATAGAAAAATATTTGAATGAGAGAAAATGAATTTTAACGTCATTTTTCACTAATTTTGATTGTCTGATAGCGTACGAGTGGGGGTGCTACTACTTAAAAGTTAATTTAAAAATCTATGGGCGAATCTCTGGAACTTTTAACCTTTATGTCCCTCACATTATTTTCACTTAAACAGCCTAAATAAAAAAACTAATGATTTTTAAATATTTACATGTTTTTAAAAAGAAAATAAGGATTACGATTTAACCATTGATATAAATTATTTTGTTTATTTTTTATATGTTTTTCTTTATTAAAGTTTACAATACCATGATTTTGAAAGTGTCACTTTCAC